GCAGAAAAAAGGGGCCCCCCCCCCCCCCCCCCCCCCCCCCCTATCCCCCACCCGCAGAACCCGTCCCGAAATGGACTGCCTCTTTCCCGCACGCACCTTTTTCTTCAATGCCCCATCCATGACCCTATCTATTGCCGTACCCAACGTTCCTTCGTTGCTTGCTTGTGGCCTCCCTTCTGTGCTGTGTCCCGCCAGGGTGTGATCTCGGATATTCTGCCAGATCTGGTGGGATCTCTGCCACAGGGGAAGCAAAAGTCAGACCTCTTCACGGTGTACTCGACGTACTGACCCGGGAGGTGCCTGGTTGGTTGCTGATTGGTTAGTTTAGACCGCCGCAATGGACGACGGGGAAAGAGGAGTAGCTCGGGTGCTTTCTCGTTCCAGTTGTTGAGGCCGTGCTCAGCGGTGGCGGCAGTTTGGATGGTGGGGGGTGGTGGTGGTGGTGGTGGTGGTGGTGGTGGTGGTGACGATGACCACCGCATCAATGGCGAGCTGTTGTCACCACGTAGTACGATGATTCGTGTTTTTTGTTGCTCCTTGTTTTGGCTGGTTTTAGGCACGAATGAGTAGAAGAACGCGTGGGAATGGCGCCCGCTCTGCTCGGCATCTTCTGTCAAGGCAGGAGATGCAGATGCGCCTCTTCATATTTAGACGACGGAGGGCAGAGGGCTGGCGACTGCCGAACTCTCGTCCTTGCATCGAAGGACGCGCAAGGGGGGGGGGTTCCGTGTGTGCAGAAAGGGGGTTATACATATTTCGCGCATGCAAGCCTTGGCACTGCTGGATGGATGACCCCGCAGCACGCATGCACGCTTGGGAAAGGGCGATAGGTGGCAGCGTGAGGGCTCGGACCACGTGTTTGTCGCCCCCTCCCGAATCATCCCCGGCGATGGTCCGGTAGTGCGGTGCTTCTCTCTTGTCTCTGCAGGGTTGGATAGTTGTCTCTTCACACAAAGCTACCGGTGTGTTTGGGTTGCGCTGCAGCACCGCCCGGATGCAGGTGATGGGCATGGCTCATATGGGTCTCTGATGTTTCGTTCACCTTTCAAAGCTAGGATAGTTATTGAGTTCTCGGTTCTTGAGCCAACCGTACGGAAGGGTGTAGCGGGTGGAGAGGGGGGGGGGCGACAGGCACGAAAATCATCACCAGGTTGCCGTGGGCAGGGGCGAGTGGATGGCCGTTTCGAGCTTGCCGGCAGTGTTGGCGGAGGTGGGTAGGTGGTGGAGAACAAGCAAGCAAGCGTTGCAGCTCCTGTGTGGGTAGTCGCACACAGTTCGTTTTTTTTGGTGTGGGGGGCCGTGGTGTATACAGCAGGTGAAATAGGAGAAAGTGCCATTTCGTGATTGGATGGACATCGAAGAAGAAACAGAGAAGGGAGATGCGATTGGGGTCCCCTTCTGTGTCGTTCTCTTGACCAAGACAAGGTGCGAAGAATTTGCTGGACTTCCTACGAGCGCATGCAAAATAACAAATAAATAGATAGGTGGGACACGCCGGGTTTTGGGTTTTGGCCCCAATCTGCAGAATTGATGTGTTTCGTCGCAAACCGTACGAAATGATTCCAAGGATTTGGTTGAACCAAGAGAACGTAGAGAGGGGAGAATGCTCGCCTTGAACAAGCAAGCAACTCTACCTCGGCTGGAATGATTTCAAGACAGCATGCCCTGGAGAACATGTCGAGTTCTGGGTTGCCTTCCTTTGTAGACTCGCAAACAGAGAAACACGAACGGGAATGACACGGACGAAAACCAGAAAAGATGGGAGTCCGTTCGGACTGGGTAGTTGAGTACGGGGGTGGCACGATATACATTGTCGTGGAACGCGCTATTCCCAGTGTGAACGAGTACTGAATCTCACACATCTACAGCGGTATCGCCCCAATCGCGGTAGGACCACAGCACTCATGTTTCTCTACCGAAGTAGCTAGACTGCTGTAGTAGACAATTGCCGATCGAGGTTAGTTGTCTTCCATTACTGCTGTACGTAGTAGCAATTCAAAGGTGAATAATTAACCAACGCTTGGTTGTAAATTTATTTGACGGGGTGGTGGCTGACTCCCCCGCAATAAAAGATAAAGATGAAAATAATAACTGCCGGGCCTAGACTACAGGAGCAGTAGGAACTCTCCTCCGCGACTCCGCATCGGATCTCTTCGGCTAGATAGGCTTGGAAGCCGATTGGGCAACGGCTGGAATGACAACGAGACGGCGAACAACGATCGATCGTGTGCCAAGGGAGGTGGTCCTGAGATGGACATGTCGGTGGCGGCGTGATCAACTATAGAGACACCGGGGTTGGATCTCTCTCCATCTACCCCCCCCCCCCGCGCGGACGTAGAACAAGAAACATCACTCTCACATCTGCTGCCCTCTCCGATCTTTCGGCACACAGTCTGCATCGGAAAGCCCAGCACCAACCACCCGCGTACGTACGCTCCAAGAGGTGAGAGAAAGAGAGAGAGAGTGTTGCGCGAGAGAGCCTTGGTGCTTGACGCCCACAGTGCGCATGTTGTCCGTGGAATTGCTGCAGAAAAAACATCTTCCACCAAAAGAGCCTGAAGCTGCGGATTTAGTCTACACATGTAGGACGGGAGATCCGGAGGATTTGGGAGGTATGAGAACAGCAGCCAGGCAGCAGCAGTACTGCGCTGTTTTAGGACAGCTGTTAAGTCCCGTGTATCGCTCTTGGTATGGCTCGCCTTGGGGCCGGCGCCGCTCTCGGCCATATGGAAAGTAGCGGGTTAATTGGGTTATTGCAGATCTATGGAGTATGCGGACAGTCAGTAGGGCGGGCGAGGCACACACAGCAGCATGATGGATCCATGTGGAGAGATGGGATCGTAGGGGTAGGAGACAAGCGCCGGTATCCAAGCAACTGCGCGAGGGGATCTTGGATATTTCTACGACAAGACCCCACCACTTCTTCGGCGATGCCCACGGGCATCTACCGTTTGTCCGTTGGGCACAAAGCAAGTCATCTTTAGGCATCGGACCAAATCGATTCCTATGTATGTATGTAGTTTAGAGACAGACCCGATCCAACCCTCCACCGCACATTGTGAGCACAACATGTGTAACGCTCCTTCCTCCTGAAACAACCCCCTATCACCAGCTTCATTTTCAACCCCATTCCGCTTTTCCCGCCCTAAACACCTCTTTGTCCCCTCGGCTGTTTGCTGGCAGCTCTTTGCTGCTCGGTATTTGACTTGCACGAGATTTCATGATGGGTTGGACAATCGTGAAACCACGCATTCGATATCGATATCTTTGGCTTTTGCCCGTGCCGAGAGTAGTAGGCCCCGCAATATGTCATTCGCCATGTTGCACGCGATGTCACCATCATTGTTCTACTGTTGCTGTGTGCGTTGCGCGCATGCCTTGGAGATCCTGCAATGACCGGGGCACTCACAAACACACACGAGAGCAAGCGCGATCATACAATACTTATATCTTCCTCTCCTCCCGGAAATAGTCGTACCAGTCCGGGCGCCCC